GTATAGAATGATAATTTTGAGCTTCCAATTCTCGACAAAAATTGAATTTCTTTCCTTATATGAAAGCTGAACTTATAACGTGTATGCATATACGAGTATTTCTGATTTAATGTTTAAATCGCCAAAAGATCAAACTTCCGAATTATCTTTTAACTAGAATAGAAATAAGGGTTTTTCTTTAATTTAAAATCAAATTTTCATAAAACGCTTCTCAATTTATACCAATAAAATTAATAAAAAACTAATATTTTTAACCAAAAAAATATGGAAAATATTTTTCAACATATTAAATTTTAACCTACGAGAGTCTTTCAAATGAAAATTATTAATATGAGCTACACGAATTAATAATTCTATCAGCATTTTAACTCAATTTGGATTATAAATTATTCCACTTTATTTTCACTAAAATGAAAATTTATCTTTTTTTTTTTTACACAAAATATCATAATCGGCCAAACATGTTGATTTTTAGTTTTTAATTGGCATATGTTAAAAACTAACAATTAACTTTGCATATTTTTTTAAAAGGGGTGCTAATTTTCTAATCAATAGATGTAATTAATAATTTTATGAAATTCTCTGGTAATTAAAAACCAAAAAAGATTAATTATTAATAGTAGAGGGGGGTGTAGTATAAAAAATAAATTATATAACAGGAATTGGTTTAATTTTTTTTTTTAGAGGCTGTGCTTGTTTATTTTTTCCTGTCCAATCTATTTATCAGGCCAGTTAATTGATTAGCTACGTTGTCTATTCCAACCTGTTAATTAGGGAAAGTATTAGGCTTTAATTATAATTGATTTTTCAATTTAACAACTCCAAATCATTTGGGCGATAATTTGTAAAGTTCGTTTGCTAATTTAGGAATAATCATTTTGCATGCCTACTTTTGGAATTTTCTAGAGATTTCGTTAATTTCATATAGAGAGGGAATAGTTTGATGGAATTCCAGTAATTTATAGTTAGGTAGAGTCTTCTGATAGTTTAAAGTCGTCTGATTTTAAATTGAAAACAGAATGTTGAACATTCCTTTAATAGAAATATTGCTTTGGTCGCCCACACACATACATATTCTCCATTTTTATACCATTCTTCTCATAATTAATAGGTGATTATCAGCATTCTAATGGATATTATATGATTTATAAATAGTTTGTGTCTATATTCTTTAAAGAAATGTCCCTTATTCAAATAATGAATATAAATTTTGAGTAAAATTGATCATTCTTCCAGGGAAAAGTGTATTTTCATAAATATTATTGTTTTCTAGCTTTCGGGCACGGACGCCCATCTACAGGAGAAATCATGGTATAATGATACGCCAATAGAACACGAGTTAAATATAATCGGATAATATTTTACATATTTTTATTAATTCTTTTTTGTATGAAGAATATATTCGGATTTTTTCTTCTCTGGAAATGTGCTTGAAGGTGGTTGGGCCTTCAAGTATGCTTCGCATTTTTTGGTGGTAATCGGATTTGTCTAAAATCACTGTATGTATTAATAAAAATAAGTAAAATAGTATCCGATTATATTTAACTCGTGTTCTATTGGCGAATTATTATACCATGTTTTCTCCTGTAGAAGGGCGTCCGTGCCCGAAAGCTAGAGAATAAAAATGTTTATGAAAATACACTTTTCCCTGGAAGAATGATCAATTTTACTGAATATTAATGCAAGGGATCATTTTATAGAATATAAATTTTATTTCAAAACTTTTTTTTTTATTTCCCTTGTTCAGAACGCAAGGATAACGATAAAATAATAAGTTACAATAACAGTTTTGGAAAATTCTGACAAGAACCAACCTATATACCATGGTTTCAGGCTATCGCCCTCATCAGTACAGGGACGGTTTCATAACATCCTACAGAAGAGGTGAGATAACGGTCCAATTTACCAGAAAGATGTTTTTGCTGGAGAAGTAAAAAGAGCAGATTTTCAGGGGCGTTTTTGATTTTATGACGAGACATGGTGTTCTTATTTGTCAAAGCTGTTTTTCTCTTATAGGACAACAACAACAACAACAACAAAAGCCTTTATTAAGACACTATTGTCTTACAAGGGGATTCCCCTAAAAGGTTATATATGTACATGAGTGAGGAGAAAAAGTAATTTAGAGGGGAGGGGGATCAATCAGCCGTTGTCTGTGGAGTTGAGCACTTCTTCCCTCATTTTATCAATCGCCTTGAAAAATTTAAAATATTTATAAACAATTTGTTTATCCAGCAGGAGAGTAGTAACAATTTTATATACATGTTGTTCATTATAGCGAGTTAGCCCCGAAATTTCGTGAATTTCCAGTCTCTTTTCCTGTAGAAATGGGCAATGGAATATATATTGTTCTTAGAGGAATATGCGCTTCAAAGTATAGGATCATCTCTCTGACTATTTATTGCGTTGATTTGAATTTTTTTTTTACAATTTTTATTTCATTGGAATATGATGGGAAGGAATTCTTCTTCCCCATGATAATATTCTATTAACACCAGATCACAAATATTGAAACAAGAATAGCTAACTACCTAATATATATATTTATATATGAAAAAACAATAGAAAAAATACAAAAAGCTCAGGTGTTGATATTAAAAACAAAGTAGGCATATCCTGACCAGATGCACACGTGCTTTTCAGAAGGCAGAGCACCATCAAATAGAACAGAAATCAACTAAACATTGATTTAGCCTGTTCCCTGATATTTGGCCAACCCAAAAAACAAAGTAGGCATATCCTGGCCAGGAGCACATGTGCTTTTCAGAAGGTAGATCGCCATCTGGGGGAAATTTGGGTTGGCCATATATCAGGGAACAGGCTAAATCAATGTTTAGTTGATTTCTGTTACACCAGATGGCGCTCTGCCTTCTGAAAAACACATGTGCTCCTGGTCAGGATATGCCTACTTTGTTTTTAATATATTATATATACTTGCATACTATATACATACTGTACTTTACAGCAGCCCATTTAGAACAGGCCAGTATGATATTTCATACCCACACAGAGCCTCCTACTGTCTCCATAAAATTATTGTACTACTTTCTTATTGACATGTGAGAGGGTGGTTGTTCGCTAAATCGTGTTTGGAAATTTTTCTGGACCTATGAGTGTCAGATCTGGCTTCAATAGGCAATTTTCACTTCCGTCCGGAGAACCCCAGGTATTCAAATTCTAGATAGCTTTTAATATTTTAGAGTTGAATGTCCGATATCTATAATTAAAACTAATTATGTTTTTAACGCTAGAAAGAAAGAGTTATTCCATCTAATATAAATAATTTCCTACTGGGTGTTTGAACATATTTTGTTGAAGGAAGTTAGAAATGGCCTGGCTCATATATGGTCAGACTTAACAGTCAGTTCAATCTCCAAACCGCTCTTCTAATATATTTTATCTGTTCTTCTAAGACAATACCAACCTGTATACCATGGTTTCAGGCTATGGCCCTCATCAGTACAGGGACGGTTTCATAACATCCTACAGAAGAGGTTAGATAACGGTCCAATTTACCAGAAAGGTGTTTTTGCTGGTGAAGTGACAAGAGCAGATTTTCAGGAGCGATTTTGATTTTATGACGAGACATGGTTGTCATATTGGTAAAAATTTGTCAAAGCTGTCGGCGAAGCGTTTCTTTAATGAAAAGGTAAAAGCTAGGCGAACTTTCGAACAATAACTTTCTTCGACGTCTTATCGAAGTACGTTTTGATGATTTCAAGTCTTCACGTCCGTGTCTCCTGCTTCGAGTGCTTTTGTTCTCACGCCAACATCCAAAGTGGCATGTAGTTCCATTAGAGTTGAATATATATATTATATATGCATGCTGTATCGAAATATAATACATAATCAATGAAAAGGTATATTCATATTATAATTTAAAATGAATATATAATATCAATATAATATAAATAGCAATATATATGCACCAAAACAGACAATGTCATATATTTGAGGCCAATTTGTCGCAGCAGCAGGGGTTCTCCGATGCTGATGTCCTGGTAAAATCCATCGCTGGATCAGGTAATAAGGAAAAAGTGAAGAGGAGGCAGATTTGGAATTAAGCGAAGGTTGGCATCTTTCCTACCTCATTAGCAGTCCTGGGTCTCATTAACAACTCGGACCTGACGTAACGAGATTAAAGGCCCTGACACGCCCGATACCATTACGCAGCACTTAAGAAGAGCTAATTTTGTCTTCTCCGCCTATTGATTCTGTAAAGCTTCGCCTTTGGGCGAGCTAAGCCTCGTCTTAAACAGATCTTTATACCATTGCATGCCTTATTGAATTGTCTATATGATGAATCGTATTGGCCTAATGATAACAACGCCAAAAATTTATATTATCACGTGATAAATTAGGAAAGACAGACTTCAGGATGACACAGCAATTTATTCGAGGCAAGAACAAACTATAATAAGCAAAAGCCAAGAACAAACTATAAATGATAAACAAAAGATAAGCAATGAGGGAAGTTTACATAGTGACAAAATATAAACATAAAAAGTGATAATCTATTAATAAAATAATAAATACTTTGCTACAATATTGAACAAAATTGTCTATACAACCAGATGGCACAAGAACCTATAGGACATGCAACAACTGTCCTGGTGTGGAACTAACACCTACTCACATATTCTCATGCCCAGCAATGGCTGCAGCCTTGTAGAAAATTGACATAGACCCAGAGCAGCAGCTTTACACACCCAAGATAGTGGACATTGCTGCTGCTGTGATAGAGATGTATGGAGACATCTGAGGCTCTTTTTTTTTTTTGCTTATCCCTAGTACACATGGTACAGGCCATGATAATCATAGTGGGTAGTTAGCGACTGCTTTTACTGTAAGTGCACCACATGTCTACACATGTGAAAAGCAGTTCGACTTTGCACTTACAAATGCCAGAGCCCCGTTTGGTTACTTGCACTAGCTGGTGGAGTTGGACTTTTGCAAGAATCGGGGGCCATTGGAGCATTTTTTTTTTAACAGAAAAAAAATGTCCAATGCGGGGATCGAACCCGGGTCCTAGTGGTCGAAAACCAAACGGTTTAACCAGCCTTCTACCGATTTATTGGACACAACAACAACAATATCGGTATATAAACTAGGTATATTATCAAAAATGTAAAAATATCGTGAGGTGACGAGTGTCTTGTGAGTTTTCTTTTATTTAACCGAGCTTACGAGTAGTTCTGTTCTTGAGGTCATTTTTACTTCTGTGGAAGAGCAGAAATACTCGAAGGTTCTGTTAAATAAAGGAAAACTCACAAGAAACTCTTCGCCTCACGATATTTTTACTTTTTTGATAATATACCTAGTTTATATATACCGATATTTTCTATATTATATTGTTGCATCAATTTTAATGCGCCCTACATTCATTAAAAATATTCTATGATATTTAATATTTATTTAAAACAGATTATTTAGATTATCATCATTCCTTTTCATAGTTTCATTCCTTTTGTAATATTTTATTGTACATGTATCTTGATTGGTTATTGGAGGGAGAGAGGTCTTGACGAAGACTTAGGATTACGACCTACGAGGAAGACAACAAATAAATAAACACAATAACTTAAAAAGTAATTTATTTTTATTTACTTTTCTTTATTTCATTTAAGTATGGAACCCCGCTCGGTAAGCGTGTATAACACCAAGAAGGAGGAAACCAAGGTCGACGACCTTGCAAAGCTGCAATTTGGTGCAACAATATACAAGGAAACTTTTCGCCTCACACGATTTTATACTTTTTGAAATTTACTGCTCCAAGCGATTTTCCAAGTTATGATATAAACAAGGTATAGACGACTGCGACAATTTGATGAGTACAGGAGAAGGATGCATGTGACACATCAAGTTGACAGACGCGTCATCCACAGGATGTAATTAGTTCATTAACCATCCTCTCTTTGGACCTGTCAGCCTTCTCGTTACAATATACGAAAGAGATTTTTTTTTCCCAATTGAAACATTTATTTCTTTGAAAAATTCAGGTAATTCTTAATCAGAAAGAAAGTGCTCATTTAGAAGCACAATAAAGTTATATTTTCTACCTTTGAGCTCTTTTTGAGAATATTTCAGCCTATTGCTGCACATTGGCCTCAATAATCATTCTCCTGCTTTGAAAATAAACGGTAAAATATCACCTTGTGGTGGATCCTTAATTTAAGAATATACTTATTCATATTTATTTGGCCGAAGCTGTCCAATTCTTGCCAACCCGTGCACGGCCAAGTGCGTTAACTGCTCAGCCAAGGGCCTCTCTGCCGACCACGAGGGGCAAGATCAATGTATTAAAATTACAATTATATTCTCACAATGAGTATCTTTTTTATTTAAAACACGCTAGCTTTCAAGCGTTAATCGCTCTTCAACGGGCTTACTATAATATCGACTTTATCTGGTAGGATAAAGTCGATATTATAGTAAGCCCGTTGAAGAGCGATTAACGCTTGAAAGCTAGCGTTTTTCAAATAAAAAAGATACTCGTTGTGAGAATATATTTGTAATTTTAATACTTTTTTCACAATTTTATCATGAACAAAATCAATGTCTTGCCCAACTGCCAGAGCTAGAGCTGCAAAGTTCTAGACCTCCGCGGACCCAATCCGGCCTAACCTGCCTCTTCCCTGATGGAGATCCTGTCCCTAGCCACCCCAGCCTGGTCATAGTGTTTTGAATATATTCCGCTTTATGCGGCCATTGGGGTTCAAAAATCATATATTTCGATTAGCAGCCCCGCGAATAAAGATATTAATTTAAGAATAGTCGTTGGACGAGTGGTTAAAACCCTCAATTCCCGACAGCCATGAACCGGGATCGAATCCCGCATTGAAAACTTTGTTTTAATATGTGAATAACCTTCATATATTATTTACTTGTGTAATTATCATAAGCTAGGTTTCTCCTTTTGAGTGGTACCTAGAGAAGAAGTTATTTTGGAACAAGAATAAGAATCCTTAATTTACAAACTTCACCATACTGGTGTAACCCAGCAACCCGAAGTGTGCTTACGAGGTTTGCTTTTCTTGTTTATTCTCAGGAAATATATTAGCCATATTCCTCTTATTCTTCAACTGGTAGTAGTTGGCGACTGCGTACACTGTAAGTGAACCACATGTCCACACATGTAGAGAGAAATTCGATATTTGCACTTACAAATGTGTCAGTGCAACGTTTTGTTACTTGCACTCACTCGTAGGATTGAACTTTTGCAAGAATCGAGGGCTATTGGAATACATTTTTATTCAGAAAACAGTGCTCAATGTGGTATTCAATCCCGGTTCGTGGTTGTCGCAAATCGACGATTTTTGCCATTCGTCCACCTACCCCATTCCATATTCCTTCCTTAAAATAAGGAATACAACGATCATTTTCTATCCATCAACAGCGTTTATTTGCACTATTTGCAAGTGATGCTCCATTATGTAAATATATAAAAGAATATAAAATTTGGGATATTGCTGATTTTGTAAGTCGTAGTGAATTGGGATCTGTGATAACACAGTGTGTTGTGTCCGGCATACAGGCATGGCACAAGTATAGGCAGACAATTTATATTAAGAAACTTAACGAAATGATTTACTCATCCAAGTTGCATATATGAGAATGTTTCTCCTGTATGTATAAATTTGTCCCCAGAAAGAAGATAGACGTCTAACGACTTTAAGGTAGTGAATTTTAAAAAATAACGATACATATACGAGATAATTCTTTAATATGGAGGTTGCCTGGCCGGTATTCATAGTTCTTAAAAAATAAGAGACAAATTGGTCAGAAAGATTTTATTTTCTCTGAAAATATAAATCCTTTTATGGCCGAGGTGTCTCTTTTTTTTTTAAACAAGATAAGTCGACTTATAAATAATATATTTTTATGTCGGGAACTGTCTGAATAAAACAAAGCAAATTGGGTGTGTTGTCCATCTCAATTATATCTTTATTTTCTTATTATATCCTATATCTTGTTTATCATTTATTGAGCCATATCTTCCTAATATATTCCACAACGGCGCATGATTAATTTTTTTTTTTAATTGAAGAAATCGCCTGAAAAGTTAATAACACAGGTCTACAAAAAAAACCTTTTTTTTTTTTTTTTGCCGGAGAAAACCTGATGTTGATTCTGATTAAACTTTTCATGCTGAATTCAAAAATGAAATCAGAAGTTTTCCATCACCCATAGTTCTTGCAGGATAACCGTTTTTTCTATAAATTGGTATATACAGTAATAATGCAGAAAATGTTACGTAAGCATTTTTTAAGTAAACATCATTACATTAGCTAGCGCTTTATTATTATTGATCATACACAACTTGACGGACTTGAATAACTATATGCAAATAGATAAGTTGAATATATTTGTGACACCCCTGGATCAACTCGTGTGTAAGAGCAATGATTAATATGACATATATATTTCGGTACAGGGGCCGCTCTCTAAACAGTTATTTACAAATATAAGAACAGGACATTTCAAAGGAATGAAGATAAAGTGTTGTAAAAGGTTACGTTCTCAGACCTTCCAGAGACCCTCTAGCGTCTTCGGTTTTCTAGATCTAAGAGCAGTTTTAAGCAAGTCAAAAGCACAAAAATCTATAGGGGCTAAGTCTGGAGATTTTATCTGCAAAAATGTTATTTTTAAAATGGAATACCTTCTGTGCATATTTATAAATACGCCAGCATGTTTAATAAG